TCTTCACATATCTTCCAATTCATTCAATTCTAGCTTCCTATGCTCTCCAGCCATCCTCAAATTGAAATTCAAAGTCTTAATGGCCCAATAGGCCTTGTGTTTCATCTCAACTGGCAAATGGCAAGCCTTTCCATACACAATCCAGTAGGGAGACATGCCTAAGACAGTCTTTTAGCTGGTACGGTAAGCCCATAGGGCATCGGTCAGTCTATTTGACCAAACTTTCTTATTTGGATTTACCGTCTTTTCTAAAATATTTTTGATCTCCCTATTGGCCAATTTGGCTTGGCCATTGGTTTGTGGGTGGTATGCGGTGGACACCTTATGTGTGACGCCATATTTAAACATTAAAGATGCAAATGGCCTATTGCAAAAATGTGATCTACCATCACTTATCATTGCACGAGGCATCCTAAACCTCAAAAAAATGTTCTCCTTGAGAAACTTGACTACAACCTGGTGGTCATTACTCTTGGTTGGGATAGCCTCCACCCATTTGGACATGTAGTCCACTGCCAGTAAAATGTATAGATAGCCAAACGACATAAGGAAGGGACCCATGAAGTCGATACTCCAACAATCAAATATTTTGATAATAAGCACAGGGGAAAGGGGTATCATGTTCCTTCGGGTCACGCTACCTAAACGTTGGCATCTATCACACTTTTTACAAAATGAAATACAATCCTCTATAAGAGAAGGCCAATAAAAACCTGACTGAAGAATTTTGTCGAGGTCTTTTTCGCCAAAAAATGGCTACTGCATGCTTGTGAATGACAGAATGCAAGGACATCCTGCTGTTCATTCTCTGGTATGCATCTCCGCATGACTTGGTCGGGGTAGTATTTGAACAGGTACGGGTTGTCGAAGTAGAAGTACTTCACATCTTCCATAAATCTTCTTCGATCCTCCGGACTCCAATGCGATGATATTTGTCATGTTGCAAGATAGTTACATATGTCAGCATACCAAGGACAAATAGAATGAATTGAGAATAAATATTCATCAGGGAAGGAATCAGGGATAGGAATGTTCTCATCGGTCTCTTGCACCACTAGTCGAGATAAATGGCCCGCCACCACATTCTCCACTCCCTTCTTGTCTTTGATCGTAAGATTAAACTTTTGGAGTAGGAGGATCCACCTGATAAGTCTTGGTTTGGCATCCTTATTAGACAAAAAATACTTCAAAGCAGAGTGATCAATATAGACTACTATCGGTGAACCAATGATGCAAGAACAGAATTTATCTAATGCAAATACTACCACTAGCAACTCCTTTTATGTGGTGGTGTAATTCATTCTGGCTTCATTGAGCGTTTTGCTAGCGTAGTAAATTACATAAGGTCTATTGTCCTTCCTCTGACCGAGAACTGCGTCGATTGTATAATTACTTGCATCGCACATAAGCTCAAAAGGTAAATCCCACTTGGGTGGTCGCATAATTGGAGGTGTGACAAGCATGCTTTTGAGTTTTTTAAAAGTTGCCTCACAATCATCTGACCACTCGAATGGGACATCCTTAGACAATAAGTTGGTTAGGGGTCGGGCCAATGCACTAAAAGGTTTATGAAGCGACGATAAAAACCAGCATGGCCTAGAAACGACCTGATATCCTTGACGACTCTTGGTGTAGGAAGGTTGGAGATGGCCTCCACCTTTGATTTGTCAACTTCGATACCCCTTGTCGAAACTATATGGCCGAGAACAATTCCCTTCGTCACCATGAAGTGACACTTCTCCCAATTGAGGACTACGTTATTTTCCTTGCATCTCTCTAGAACTTTCTCTAAATTTTTCAGACATCCTTCAAATGAATCCCTGAACACTGAAAATTCATCCATAAAAACCTCTACTATCTTCTCCACCATGTCACTAAAGATCCCCATCATGAAACGTTGAAAGGTCCTCGGGGCATTACATAGCCCAAAAGGCATGCGACGGTAGGCAAAAGTACCATAGGGACAAGTGAAGGTGGTCTTCTCTTGATCTTCCAATGCAATCTCGATTTGATTGTAGCCGGAATATCCACCTAAAAAGCAATAGAATAGATGCCCCGTTACACGTTCCAATACTTGGTCAAGAAATGACAATGGAAAGTAATCTTTTCTTGTGCATGCATTGAGCTTGTGGTAGTCAATGCACACTCTCACTACAACAAAAATCGTTTTTTGCGACAATTTTTTTCGTTGCTAAATTAAAAAAAATCGTCGCCAATTATTTTTTGCGATGTTTTTTTTTCGTCACATGTTCGTCACAATATCCTTGTCGCATAAAGTATTTTAAGACAAAAAAAATTTTTCGTCGCAATTTTTTTTTTCCCAGACGAACACAAAACATCGCGAAAAGTAACAAAAACGTAGCTAAAATCCATTCCCCGAGCATAAGAAAGTAAAAAATAATAATTTAATTAACGTTTTGCGACGTAAAAAAATCGTCACAAATAATGTTTTACATAAATAAAAAAATAAAAAATAATAATTTAATTAACTTTTCACGACGTAAACAGTATCGTAGCGAATAATTTTTTACATAAATAAAAAATGTTAACAATAATAATTTAATTCATTTTTTGCGACATAAACAAATCGTCACAAATAATTGTTTTCATAAATCAAAAATGTTAAAAATAATAATTTAATTAACTTTTAGCAACGTAAAAAAATCGTCGCGAATAATTGTTTCATAAATAAAAAATGTTAAAAATAATAATTTAATTAGTTTTTCGCGACGTAAAATTATCATCGCAAAAAAGCTTTTTCTTGCAATTTTTTGCGATGATCTTTATTTCGTCGCAAAAAAAATCATTTTTTTAAAATTTTACATCAAAAATGATATTCCAATAAAATCTTTCACCTGTACACCAATAATACTTGTGTTCAATAAAAAACTAACACAATTAATACATTGCACATCTTTTTTTTAAAAAAAAATTTATTTCCAAAAAGAATGAATTACAATAATCAAATTACAAGAAATTCTAAAAATAGAAAAAAAAATTTTTGTCCACAACACAGCTCATCTACAGAAGCAGCTAACAAACACAATTTGCAGCTCAGTTCTGCACATTTTGACCCCTGCCATTAGCTCAGCAACTCTGATCACTGCATCATCAGACAGCCTGTAAAGGACCTAAAGCAGGAGGAACAGATCCACTTGTAGCATAGCTCCTATTATGGTTGTCCATTGCAGCTCTTAACTCAACAGCTTAGCAACACAGCAAAAACCAACTGTTCAGCAACCAAAGCAGCCCCTAACCTAGAATCCAGGATTTGCAGCAGCACAGCTCAGCTCACAAATTAGCTCAGCAAATCTGATCCTACATCCATCCACTTCTTTCTGCTCAACCAAAATACAGCTTGCAAACCAGTGCAGGTAGAATACACCAATGCATTCAAATTCACCATCTAAGAAGTATTATCCACCCAGCAAAGCTGGCTTTAATCCTTCAAATAGGCAAAGCCAAATAAACCTACTCAAATAGCTCCTGCTCAAGTACTAGTATTAATCATGAATGATAAAAATCATAACATAAAGTTTACTCACATACCAGTGTAAATATTGTGTGTCTAGGACTCCTCAATAGATTACGGTTATTCAAATTCAACATTACGGTGCTCTGCCATCATCACCATGGATGCTTGTACTAGCTTTCTTTTTTCTGACAAGTTATGTGCTTGTGCTAAATAAGTTGCTTATTTGTTTTGATGAATCAATTACATTTAGTAATGGAATTAAAATATACATGACCTTTGTTCGACAGTAATAGATATCATTCAAGGCCCTAAAATAATAAGTTATGTCTCTATTTTAAAACCTAATGTTTCATGGATTGCACTGAAAAATACTTGTTTGCCTAACTACACTGAAAAAGATGAAAGCAGCAGGTAGAAGGTTCCAATGGTGAGCTAAACCGGACTGTTGCAGTAGCTAAACAGTCACGTGAACAGTGACTATTCCAGCTGCTACAAACAATTAAAAGGCTGAGGGAGTTACACCTAAAAAAAGCCTATCTGATACAATAGTTGATCCTAACAAAGTTAAGCAGTTAACACAACCAGTTTGTCCTTGTTTATTCATGTTATGTGTATCTATCAAACAATTTTTTACCTATTAGGGAGACCTTCCATAGATCTTCAATGGATTTTCTGATTTGGGATAGGCTGCAAAACGATAAAATAAACAAATGGAAACTCAACACAAAAAAATTTAACAAAAAATCACCATATCTCATCTCACTGGATGATTTAAAGAAGCTCTCTATAATTAGTAACAAATGTACTGAAACCTAGAAACACACTGACACTTAGCAAAAGCACTCAATCCCACATACCATAGCTCATAAACTCAGCCAATTAAGAAGCTTACTTCAAATCAATTTACAGATATAAAGATCAAAGATTCTTTTGTACATTCGGGGGGTGTGTGTGTTTTTTTTTGGGGGGGGGGGAGTGAGACACAGAGAGAGAGAAAGAGAGAGGAATAATACTGAACCACATACTCATCGCTAGTTATGCACGCACTTATTTAGGGGGCTACTGAAGCAATCTCAACGTGTAATTTCAGATTATAAACTAAAAAACATGTAATTGCATATGTTAAGGTGCACAGGAAGGTTATTAACAACTAACTCTGCCACAAAAAAAAATATATGACAAACGCCTCAATCTCCATTTTGATGCAGAACTTTCAATTTCCATTCACCAACCAAATTGCTAACATAAGCAAAAGTTGAAAAACAGAAGGTATTGGTTATGAGTGTGTGTCTTGTCTACATGCTAGCAACAACCATGACTCTAGCTTTATAAATTACACAGGATAATACAGGTTTAGATTCACCCAATCAAAAGGCGTCACAAAAGACAACATCTAGAAAAAGCAAACAGAGTACACACTCAAAGAAGCATAAGCAACCAAAAATTAAAGTTGCTACAACTTGCCTCAGGTTTTATGCTGCATCCTCCCACTTTCTGCACCAGCATATGGATCAATTGTAATGTTTTATGACAACAGTCTTCCGTGTAGAAAAACTTCAAAAAGCGCTGATTTGAGTTCATCAGGTGTCCCAACAAGATAACCCCTTCCCCCAAAAGCTTCAAGTAGAAGATGATATCCAGCACCAGGAACAAAAGAAGTCGGTGCAGGATCATCCTTGTAAGGTCCTGTAATTTCTTCAAGGTTCCTCCAGTCACCACCATATACACCACTATTGTTAAACACTATAACCACCATTGGCAACTGATATCGAACCAATGTCTATAGAGTTCAAAGAAACACACATCATATAAGTTTTTTCTGCTCAAAAGGAAATCAAATATGTCAAGATAATGGTGGTAAAAAGAATATAATATAAGAATGAATATACAAAAATATGGGCCAAGAAAGAGTTGGGGTGAAAAAAGTGCAGCATCCATTTAGTTTAACATATAGGCTTCCTGTTTGTGCAGAAATTGGGATAAATGAATTTTACAGAACACAAGCAACATGGTAAGAGTGTCGCACGAAATATTTAATTCCTTAAGAAGAGAAAGGAAAAAAATGTATCACTGCCTAACAATCAAATATTCTAGAAATCACTTATTTCTAAATTGTTCCATGGATTTCCAGCATTGGGTTAATTAATTCACAATAGCTTACCCAAAAAAGAGTTGTTTCCCAAGTCAAGAGAAACAAGCGTTTTAAGTCCATATGCATCAATATATGCAAATATTGCCTAGCAATGTATCATTGCCTAGCAATCAAATATTCTAGTAGGACACATGTAAAACTTGCACACAAGACTGTTTAGCCAACAGGGGAAAATGAGTTGAAGCCTACCAAAGAAAGATATTTTAAGTCCATATGCAAACAATATATGCAAATACTCTAATTGAGGCGAAACCTTAGCATGTTTACAGCTCAAAGGTGATTCAGCATAATGAGTGGATATGCAGAAAATATCTCCAAAACCACGTTGCAGTAAGTGAGGCTCCTATAATAAAAGGAAAATTAAGTCAAACAACTATGAGTAGTGCTCTATTACCTCACCATGAAGCTGGTTTTTACCAAATTGATTTGTAAATATAAAGTACAGCTAAAACAGAAGTCCAGCTAAAGTAAGAGTCTAGTTGTAGAAAGAGTCCAACTGAAATAGGAAGCTCCAACTGTTTTCAGTCCAACCAAAAATTAGATATAGCAGAGAGAGAGATAGTATGTACTTGCTGGTAGCCTAGTAGTCGTCGATGCTCGATGGAGCTCTGATCAATTGAGTCACTTTAGCTTTTCTTCCACTTCGATTGCACACGAGGTTGCGAGAATGAGAGAGAGTAAGAGACTTTATGTGTGTGTATGCGTGTGTGAGTGAGAGACAAAGAGACTCACGTTGGAGATGGCTGTGATGTTAAGATCCACAGTCGCTACGACGAAGAGACAGAGGCGCAAACGACTCCAGGAGGCAGAGCCGAAGACGAAGAGGTAGAGATGGGAACTCACGTTAGAGATGATTGTCATTAACGAGGAGGAGAGGCGCAGACGAAGAGGCAAAGGGTAAGATGATTTAGGGCAAAGGCAGCCTTTTGATCAATTCCCGCTATTTTATTTGCTTTGATAACTAAAATTTATCAATTCTTACCATCATGTTATCTAATTGAATTTAAATGTTAATTTGATAATTTGAATGTTAATTTTACGAATTGAGTGTTCATTGAATGAAATTGAAAAATTATTTTATTAATTTAATGTTAACTAGTTGAATATGAATGTTAATTTGATAATTTGAATGTTAATTTGATGAACTGAGTGTTCATTGAATGAAATTGACAGTTTATTTGATTAATTTTGAATGTTAATTTGACGAATTGAATGTTCATTGAATGAAATTGAAAGTTTATTTTATTAATTTAATGTTAATTAGTTGAATCTGAATGTTAATTTGATAATTTGAATGTTAATTTGACGAATTGAGTGTTCATTGAATGAAATTAAAAGTTTATTTTATTAATTTAATATTAACTAGTTGAATCTTAATGTTAATTTGATAATTTGAATGTTAATTTGACGAATTGAGTGTTCATTGAATGAAATTGAAAGTTTATTAGATTAATTTTGAATGTTAATTTGACAAATTGATTGTTCATTGAATGAAATTGAAAGTTTATTTTATTAATTTAATGTTAACTAGTTGAATTTGAATGTTAATTTGACGAATTGAGTTTTCATTGAATGAAATTGAAAGTTTATTTGATTAATTTTGAATGTTAATTTAACGAATTGAGTGTTCATTTAATGAAATTGAAAGTTTATTTGATTAATTTAATGTTAACTAGTTGAATTTGAATGTTAATTTAGTGAATTAAATGCTTATTAGAAAAAATTGAATGTTAATTAGAAGATGTTGGGTGTTAATTTGGTGTTAATTCGATTAATTGAATATTAATTTGAAAAATTGAATGTTAATTTGATAAATTAAATTTTAATTTGATGAAATTACATGTTAATTTGGTGTTGATTTAATGAAATTACATGTTAATTTGATGAAATTGTATGTCAATTTGATAAATCTGAATGTTAATTTGATAATTTGAATGTTAATTTGACGAATTGAGTGTTCATTGAACGAAATTAAAAGTTAATTTGATTAATTTTGAATGTTAATTTGACAAATTGAGTGTTCATTGAATGAAATTGAAAATTTATTTGATTAATTTAATGTTAACTAATTGAATTTGAATGTTAATTTAGTGAATTAAATGCTTATTAGAAAAAATTGAATGTTAATTAGAAGATGTTGGGTGTTAATTTGGTGTTAATTCGATTAATTGAATATTAATTTGATAAATTGAATGTTAATTTTGTGTTGATTTGATGAAATTACATGTTAATTTGATGAAATTGTATGTTAATTTGATAAATTTGAATGCTAATTTGATAATTTGAATGTTAATTTGATTAATTGAGTGTTCATTGAATAAATTTTTTATTTATGTAAAAATTTATCGACGACCTTTCTTGAAAAACGTCGCGACAACTTAATTAAATTATTACTTTTTTGAAATTTTTAATTTTCGTAAAAATTTATCTGCGACGTTTTTTTAAATTTGCCGTGAACACTTAATTAAATTATTTTTTTTAAAATTTTTTATTTATGTTAAAATTTATGGGCGACGTTCTTCAAAAAATGTCGCGAATAATCATTTAAATTATTTTATTTTTAAATCTTTTATTCATGTAAAAAGTTTACTGGCGACGTTTTTTTAAAAATGTTGCCAAAAATCAATTAAATTTTCTTTTTAAAAATATTTTATTCATGAAAAAAGTTATTTGTGACGTTTTTTAAAAACGTCTCTAAAAATTAATTAAATTATTATTTTTTAAATCTTTTATTCATGAAAAAAGTTTATTGAAATATCAATTAAATTATTATTTTTTAAATCTTTTATTCATGCAAAAAGTTTATTTGCGACGTTTTATAAAAATGTCGTGAAAAATCAATTAAATTGTTTTATTTTTAAATCTTTTATTCACGTAAAAAGTTTATTGGAGACGTTTTTTAAAAACGTCCCAAATAATCAATTAAATTATTTTTTTAAGTCTTTTATTCACGTAAAACATTTATTTGCGACGTTTTTAAAAAAAGTTGCGAAAAATCAATTAAATTATTTTATTTTTAAATCTTTTATTCAAAAAAAAAGCTATTTGCAACGTCGCGAACGATCAATTAAATTGTTTTATTTTTAAATCTTTTATGCATGTAAAAAGTTCAAAAAAAAAACGTCGCAAAAAATCAATTAAATTGTTTTATTTTTAAATCTTTTATTCATGTAAAAAGTTTGTTGGCAACAGTTTTTAAAAACGTCGCGAAAAATCAATGAAATTGTTTTTTTCAATTCTTTTATTCACGAAAAAGTTTATTTGCGACGTTTTTAAATCAATTAACCAATTCCCGCCGCCAGGAAACAATTAGGAGGAAATCGCTTTTCTGCGACGTTTTTCAAAAACGTCGCAAAAAAAATTAGCAAAATTGAAATCTGCTACAACATTATAAAATCGTCACTAATAGTAAGTTTTTGGCGACAAATTAAAAATCGTCGCTAAAAAAAACATCGCAAAAAATATTTTTTGTTATAGTGTCTCCATCCGGAGATCACCCTCGTTGGAATAAGCTCATTATGAGGTCAACAAGGACCTGAGAATCTGTCTCAATAATCAAGGGATAAACCTCCAACCCATAATTTTTCACAAGAAGCAGACCATCTAGGAGGGCAAGAATTTCTGCTTCCATATTAGAGCAAATACCATAGAAATATGATCCAGCTAGAACCAACTGACCCCACTTATTACGTAGGACCACACCACCACGTGATTGACTGGGATTTCCCTTTGAGGCACCATCTGTATTTAGCTTAAGCGTACCCTGAGGAGGAAAATTCTAGCAAATCCATTTAACACTCTTCAAAACCTTTGATCCAGCTAGAACCAACTGACCCCACTTATTACGTAGGACCACACCACCACGTGATTGACTGGGATTTCCCTTTGAGGCACCATCTGTATTTAGCTTAAGAGTACCCTGAGGAGGAAAATTCTAGCAATTCCATTTAACACTCTTAAAAACCTTTGTACACAACCTGATATTAAGAGACTAGAGCATGGATTGTCCATTAATAGAATCCAAGACTTTGGGCTTAAATATAACTACTTGTAACCTAAGTAGATGAATAATAAGAGAAAATAGAGAGTTAAGAGACTTCCTCTGATTCTCAAAGACCCTATTGCAACATTCTTTCCATAACTGCCAGTAAACCAGTATGGGTATACTCCTCGTTATAGTATGACTCATAGACTATTTTGGATAAATCCTGCATAATTTGAGAAACCTGGATGTTGGAGACTCTACGAGGAACACCTGAAAACCAAACAGACTAGAAATTTTGCACCAAAGTTGAGAGGTGTAAGTGCAAGAGATAAATAGATGAGAAGCAGACTCCTCCTCACAACAACATAAAGGGCATCTACTTGCCAAAGAGAATCCCAAGCTCTTGAATTTTAAGTCTAGGGGGAGTGCATTCTTCATAAGCTTCCATCCAATTAACTGTGCACTAGGGGAAGAGCACTGCTTCCATATGCTAATGGCCTGATCATCTTGCATATTATTCCTCCTAGATAATTCCCTTGCTGTCTTGATAGAAAAGTTCCCCAGTGAAGTGGGCTGCCAAATGAGCTTGTCTTGTTGTTATGATAGGATAACCCCAGAAGAGAGAACCTCCTAGAGGAGATTCTGATCTAACTGGTGAATTACACTTTCTAGTTGCCATTGAACTTGAATAAGCAACACTGACAACTTAGGAAAATGAACTGGGGTAGTTAAATTCCTAAGAAGGAGAGGGCCTCCACCAGTCCAATTATCACACCAAAAATCCACACTAGAGCCTGAACCAACTAGCATCTTTGAGTTGCTAATGATGACTTCAAACCATGGAGATAACACTTTAAGGCACCTGGGCTGGACCTGATTAGTGAACCGCAAGAAGTGATTACCCTTTAGATACTTTGTAGAAAAGAAAGAGGACCACAGGGAGCTATTCTCCAAAAGGTTCCACACATGCTTCATTCTAAATGAATTCTGCACTTCCTCAAATTTTCGAATTCCCAAACCACCCTCACTTAGTGGCAGCGTAACTTTATCCCAAGAAACCAAATGCCTTTTCTTTACATTTGCCTTACTAGACCACATAAAAGAAGGCATAGCGGAGTTCATCTTTGCTATGATCCCTTTAGGAAGGTTCAAGGAAGCAAGCAGATGAATGGGGAGCGAACATAGCACAAATTTAATAAGGACTATTTTGCCCATAATGGAAATGAGCTTAGCATACCAGCCCCCCAACCTTTATTGAAATTTCTGCAATATCTTCTCAAAATAGATGAACTTAACCCTCCCTTTAATAATTGGACAGCCTAGGTACGTAAAAGGACTTTGCGTAAGGGGAATATTAGCAACCTGTGATAGGCTATTTTTCCTCGCAACTGAGATTTTAGAAGGGCAATAAAGGGAACTTTTCTATTTGTTTACCCTCTGGCCAGATGACTGCTCATACCTGCCCACAAATTTCAAAAGGTTGATCACAGACCTCTTGTGCCCTCTCAGGAAGATGAGGATGTCGTCGGCTTAGAAGTCTTGAACCTCTTCTTGTGTGATAACTTTGAATTAGACCCGGCTCAAAATGGGATCTCAATCTCAATGCTCTACTCAACACTTCCTCGGCTAAGATGAAAAGAGAGGGTGACAAAGGATCACCCTGTCTTAAGCCTCTAGAGCTGGGAAAAAACCATGTCGAGCACCATTAATAGATAAAGAAATATTCTGATGGCTAAGGAGTTAGAAATAATGGTATGAAGTCTTTAGAAAAACCAAAGCTATTCAAAGTATGCTTCAAAAAATCCCATTCCAATCTATCAAATGCTTTCATCATATCAAGCTTAACAATAACATTTCCGGCTTCCACCTTGCGGTC